TTTCGTACTCTGATTCTGTACTCGGATAGCCATCGTAGCCCTACGTACAGCAGGGCTACGATGGCTATCAGTCATCAGTACTTCAACACTTCGATATACCGACAGTCAACTTGGCACCGCTGAAGGGACTGCAGCACCGCCCAAATTTCGACGGAATCAAAGGCTTTCTCATAGTCCACATACGCCAGACATAAGGGCAAATTGTACTCTTCGGACTTCTGTACAATTTGCCGAAGGGTATGTATGTGGTCTATGGTGCTAAAGCCCTTTCGGAAACCGGCTTGTTCGGGAGGCTGGAAGTCGTCAAGTCTGCGCGCGAGACGATTCGTAATGACTCTCGAAAACAGCACGTAGATGCGGCTGAGAAGGGAAAACGGTCTGTAGTTCTTCAAGAGAGCGTTGTCACCTTTCTTGAAGAACAAGACCACCGCACTTCTGCTCCACGCCTCCGGTGTAATGCCACCATGGAGGACGGAATTAAAGAGCTTCTGAATGACTTCAAGTACCGGTCTTCCACCCGCTTTCAGAAGCTCCGCTGTAATTCCATCCTTGCCTGGGGCCTTAACGTTTTTAAGGTGCTGGAGAGCCATCCTAATCTCGCTCAGACTGACGTCCGGGATATCTTCGGAATAGTGTCGGATGAGACTCGCTCTTGGGTCGTTACTCACACTTGCGTGTGGCTCCAATGATGACGTGTACAGCTGCCCATAGAACCTCTCAATCTCACTCAAAATCTCAGGTGTTCCAGAAACGATGCTGCCACATTCTGTCTTCACCTTTGACAGTTGGCTCTTTCTGGCAGACAGATCTCTGGCAAAGACTTTGGAGCCTTGGTTCCGCTCGATCGCTTCTTCAATACGAGCTGTATTGAAGTTGCGTAAGTCCCGCCGCATGCATTTGGAGATCTGTCTGTTCAGATACCTGTATGCTGTCAAGTCTGTTGAAGAATGTAGCTTCATCTCCCGTCTAACAGCCATGAGATTAAGAGTGTGATCGGAGAGTTTTTGTGTTCTTCTGCGGCGGGTCTTGCAGAACTTAGCTCCGACAGCATGGACAGTTTCCACGAGCTTGTCATTCATATCGTCCACTTCATTGCAGTCTTCTAGGCACTGAAAACGGTTTTGTAACTCGAGCTGAAAGGTTTCGGGACTTTGGAACAGAGCACGAGGGGGACGGAGCGTTGACTTCATTAGACGAGACCTCTCCAACTTAACGTTTAGGTTCAGTGTGCCTCTAACCATTTGGTGATCGCTACCAGTTTTCACCCTCGCGATCACGGAGACATCACTGAACAGTTGTCGTCTGGTCGTCATAATGAAGTCAATCTCATTTGTTGTCGAACCGTCGGGGCTCGACCAGGTCCACTTCCTGTGGGGCCGCTTCTGGAAGAAAGAGTTCATCATAAAGAGTCTCTCTTTTTCCATGAAGTCGGCCAGCTGCTGGCCCCTTGGGTTCCGTTGCCCTATTCCAAATTTCCCTACTTTCAGCTCACCGTTCTCTCTTGTGCCTAGTTTTTCATTGAAGTCTCCCATTAACACCGTATATTGTCCTCATACATTTCCTCCACCTCCTCATCGGGGTGTGCCGAGGTTGGTGCGTAAACCTGTATGACCTTCAGCGAATACCGTTTGGTGATTCTGAGTATAAGGTACGCAACCCTCGTCGACACACTCCCGATCTTTACAACGTTGTTAACGAGAGACTTGTGGACGATAAATCCGACACCTCCTTGGGACAGATGGTCGCCCTCCCGGTGATAGAGTAAGTTGCCGGATTCGAGGATTACCGTGTCCTCCCCCTCTCTTCGGACTTCGGATAATCCTATAATATGCCAGCGCAACTTGTCTATCTCTTCTTCCAGCTCCACGATCTTCTCGTCAGTCCTCAGGGTGCGTGCGTTGTACGTTGCCAGGTCGAGTCGTCTAAGGTGGCAACCGAACCTCCACCGGAGATTCTTAGCACCCCCCGCCCCGCCGTTACCATGGTCGCCACCGTAGCCAGGAATAGCGGGACCGCCGGGGACTGGGGGCCGTCTCTTTGTTACATTCATAGGGGGGTATTTGCCATAGTTGCCACGCTTGGCGAGCGGGTTGGCAACCGCAGTTTTTTTATTGTAATTTTGGCTATTATCAGGAAGATGCTGCTGCCCATCTCCTGCCTGTTTCCCTTTGTCGCCTTTTACGACACCCACGGGAGGATATGGGGTAGTGGATATTCTTGACCGCTACTACACGGCACATAAATTAAAAAACACATAAATTTAAAATTAAATTTTATATTTTTCTAAGGCAAATGCTAGCTTGTATGTATATTATATTTATTATTCATGGTAAACGAGACTATAGCGATCGATAAATGGTGGCAAGGTCATGTATAAATGTCTTACCCAAATTCACAAGTGACGCTAAGCAGAATCACTGTGACATTAAAATATCCTATTATTTAATTTCATAGTTTTAGAAATATATCTAATTAAAAAAAAATGCAGTCAACACAAAATAAGTCATTAACTATTAAACAACTTGTAAGTTGTACAAACTTTAGAGACTCATTTAGTGAAGTTTATGTTAAGATGATTAATATACATTTTATTAATATTACCATAATATATGTAATAAATACTAATTATTGCTTATCAGGCTTATTCGCAATAATAGTCCTGTCTGTGATGATGGTCCGGTCCTAGTAGAGCCTAGCGCGGTCATTTTCGTGCACGGCTTCCGGCAAATACTTATAATAAGGCAGTTTCCGAACCACGAGAACGTATTTTCAGGACAGGTGGCGCTATTTAAGGAGACAGGTGGCGCTATTTAAGCAGTTAACTTAGGCTCCGTATAATATTTGTTTTAAAAATATTATAAACAAACTTTATTGAACTTTACTACAATATAAGTATTAATTCTAACATAATTTAGTATGTCCAGTGTTATCTTACTGTTTGGAGCTAGATTATCAGTGTGAAGTTGATTAAAGTAATCCAGTGAATCAGTGAACAATAAATTGTCATTGTTTTGAATTTATTGTAATAAAACAGTGTTTTTTAAAGTGAAACGCTAAGGAACGGTATTAACAAACTAAGTCACAGTGCTATCAACGTTTTATTTTTGTTGTAAAGTGAAAAAAACATTAATTTAGTATTAAAGTGACGGTTACAACAGTTTAAAATGTTAAAATTTTTGTACATCTGATTAAATTAGCGACATCTATGTGATAATTGATAACCAAAGGAGAGTAACAATTTGTGTATTATTACGCCATCTATTAATTACTTGCAAAATAAGCTACGAACTTATGTTAATAGATCAATTTGATCAATCCTACGATCACCCGTTAGAGGACGCGCTCATTCATCTGATTTTATAGTATTATTTTAATTTTGAAATAAGTCCTAGTTCTGCTGTATAAAATGATGTCGCCACCAACCGAGACTTGTGCTGCATGTGCGAAACCTTTACCCAAAAGAGAATATCTACGTTGTTGTAATTGTAAAGAGGTTTATGATATTGAATGTTTAAATATAAGCAGTAAACGCTTTTATTCTTTTTATTCGTTTAATAAAGAGCGTAAAGATAATTGGAAATGCATTTCATGTGTGAGCAAACTTCCGCGCACGAATAATTTGAATACACCAGTGCGTACTGCTGACTCTGAAATTTCTAGTCCTCCTGCATTGGTTGTCTCACCAGAGAAATCGTATGTGGCAGTCCGCCACAAAAATACTCAGGACAAGAATATTCATGTAGAACAGAGCAGCGCAATGGAGAATATTATGTCAGAATCGCTCGATGGTACTGCTATGGACTTCAAACTGCTTCTTAGTGAAATGAAGGCCATCCGTGCTGAAATGCGCTTGTTCCATAATTCTATAGCAGATCTCATGACTTCCATTAAGATGCAAAGCAACCGCATTGATTCCATCGAAACCAGGATATCAGCCTTAGAAGACAAATCAAAAGGCTTACAACGCTGTGAAGTTTCGACTTTGGAGGAGACGGTGTCACAGTTGAAGTCACAAATATTGGAACGTGATCAAGACTTACTATCTAATGATATCCAGATAGCGGGTTTTCCTGAAACGAGTGGTGAAAATACCGCACATATTATCTTGGCTATTGCCAAAAAATTATGCGTGGACCTGGATGAGCGCGATGTGGTGTCATCAGAACGTACAGGTTTCATACGCGATAATGGCGAGAGCCCTACAGCTCTGCGGCCACGCCTTTTAGTTGTGCGATTGGCGCGTCGTGCTCAGCGTGATGCGCTAATACAGGCGGCACGCGTACGGCGCAATATCACCACTGAAGGTCTGGGACTGATGGGAATAGCTCGCAGAATTTATGTTAACGAACGTCTTACTAAGCACAATAGCCGGTTATTTTATAAAGCCCGTGTGGCAGCCAAAAGCCATGGTTGGAAGTATGTATGGTCACGTGACGGAAAGATTTATGTAAGGAAGGAACATGGGAGTGAGCGACATCGTCTTCGGTTGGAAGAGGATTTAGCTAAGGTTTTTGGTGTTGAAGCTGTTGGCTCTAAAACAATGTCACTCGGCGAATAATAGGAATATATTATTTTTAAATATTTTAATACGAACTTCTCACATTAACTTACAATTTTTTTATTTCCTAAATGTTATGATAACATACATTTCATTGTTATATTCTGGCAGATTAGCTATATATAAATTTAAGATATATAAATGTCTTATGATTATTATTTTACTTTTGCTTGCTTCAACACGTTCTGTATTTTATAATGATACAAAGGTTATGTGCTCACAGATTTTTTACTTTAAAATGTTCTATTTATGTGTAAGTAAAAGCATTAAATTATGTTATGCATACAATGATTTTAAGTTATATGTGAAAACTGTTGTAACATACAGTTTTTATGGCCTAATAATATTTTGTATAATTTTTTACTTATTTACATGGAATTGTCTAAGCTTTGTTAATAGAACTTTAATAGAAATTCCTTTTATCACGCGTATACGTTATTATCTGAACTGTTTAGTGTTGTTTTTGAGGGAGGTTGTATTTATTTGCTCTTTTATTATTATTTTTTATGTTTTATTCATATTGAGTTTTGTACTTTTCGCGAGCATTTTATATTGTCTTATATTAAGTGATAATTTCTATGCCACAATGTGCTTTAAAATATTTTTAAATAAAACTGTTCTAGGAATAGCCTATGTACTCGGATATTACAAGACGTTCGTTGGTTTTCATAAATTATTATTGCATTTATCAATGCGTTCATTTGTGCATATGCGACATCTGACTTTACTACGAAAATATTTATTTCATTGCAAGTATGTTCAGATAACATACTCTTTTGTCATACAATTTATTAGTAAAAAAAAATTATCTCTAGGCTTTCTGAATCCGGGTTCTTTATGTACACGTCATGATGAATTTTTGGTTTCCTTTGATCGTCATGCGGTAGATATTATGGCGATAAATGAAACGTGGTTGAAGCCAGGTGAGGAACTGCGCGCACCTTCCCCTCCAGGATACAAGCTGCGACACAAACCTCGTCCTGCAAGCATCCGAGCACGCGGAGGAGGTGTGGGTTTTTACATTAGAAATGGTATCCACGCTCGCGTCCTGGAACATCCGAGTACGCTCTCTATTGAACAGATGTGGTTAAGTGTTAAAGCTAATGGTTTGAAACTTGCAATAGGTACCGCGTATCGTCCTCCTTGGTTTCACATTGATACTTTTATAAATGATCTATCTGATACAGTCAGTTCATTTTCAGCCTATGACTACATTGTATTGTTAGGAGATTTCAATATTAATTTGCTTGCACCTTCAGATCCTAATTCAAAAAAGCTCAATGATTTTCTACTGTGTATGGGTCTGAGGCAGTACGTCACACAAGCGACTCATTTTACTGATCACTCGGAAACTTTACTTGATTTGATTTGCAGTAGCTGTGATGTATTTAATATACAGGTTGACTATGTGCCAGATCTGAGTCATCACGCTTTTCTATCTTGTGATTTGAATGTAAAGAAGCCAAAGCAAGTGTCAACATGTATTACTTATAGACCAATTAAGGATATAAACGTACCACAATTTAATTCTGATGTTGATGCTGTACTGTGGGAAGAGTTGCTTTGTGATGACGTAAACAGTTCTGTAACGGCTTTTAATTCACAAATATTGTATCTGTTTGATATTCATGCACCAATAAGAACATCTTACATTAAAGGCCATAGCTATCCGTGGATCACACCAACGATTAGGGAAATGATGAAGCTAAGAGATAAAGCTCACGCCAAATGTAAAGGCATAAATTCCAAAGGTGACAAAAAATATTATAAAGATCTGAAGAGTACTGTTAATGCTGCTATACTGAGTGAAAAAACAGCCTACTTTCGTTACTTTATTAATAACAATTCAAAAAACCCTCAAGTACTTTGGAGAAATATAAAGAAAAATGTGGTAGACTTCAAAAATAAAGATATTGATTTGCCATCAAACTTGAATGATCCTGATATCATAAATCATCATTTTCTACACATACCAGGAAGCAATAGTGTAAGCCCATCAACATTATGCTATTTTGAATCTAACCGTTTCAATTCGTCGGTTTTTACTTTAAAATTAGTGGATGAAAACTTGGTATTAGAAATTTTGAAAAATATTACCACAAATGCTATGGGTGTAGATGGTATTACTAAAGATATGGTTGTCTTAACATTGCCACGGACTTTAAGTGCTATAACCAACATTATTAATATGTCGATACGGACAGGAGTTTTCCCAGACACCTGGAAGGAAGCAGTTATAATTCCAATACCAAAAAATAATCATCCTGTAGAACTAAATCATCTTCGACCTATAAGTATACTACCTTTTTTATCTAAAATTGCTGAAAAGGCTGTTTATATGCAATTAATGGAATATCTAAACCAGAACAATATTTTACCTCTAAAACAATCAGGTTTTAGGGCTGGACTAAGCACGGTTACAGCACTATTGAGTGTTGTCGATGATATTCTAACAGCGCAGGATAAAGGAGAGGCTACAATTTTGACACTGCTGGACTTTTCGCGTGCATTTGACACAATAGATACTACTTTACTTCTGTCGAAGTTGATGTATTATGGTTTTGACTGTAACGCATTAAAGTGGTTTGAAAGTTATTTAAATGGTCGTACACAACGCGTCAGACTTCGAAATGAAACTGGTACCAACATTTTTTCTGTTGCGTCTCCTGTTACTCGTGGCGTGCCACAAGGGTCGATTCTAGGTCCTTTACTGTTTATCCTTTACAGTGCCGATATTACGGGCTGTTTTAAATATTGCCAGTATCATTTATATGCCGACGACCTTCAAGTCTACATATCATTTAGGCCGGATGATACTAATGAGGCAGTTAACAAACTAAATCTGGATTTAAGCATGATCGCTGAGTGGGCGAATAATAATGAACTCATCTTAAATTCAAATAAAACCAAATTCATGATTTTGGGATCAAAGAAATTAATAGAACGAACGAATGCTCATAAGCCTAAAATTGTTGTTGGTGGCAACCATATTGAACAGGTATCCGAAGTTCGTAACTTGGGTATAATTATGGATAATAGACTAAGGTTTGAAAATCATGTTACGCATACAGTAAAAAATTGTTTTTACAGATTGAAAATATTATATAATATTCGGGAATACCTAAGTGAAGAATTGAGAATTCAACTTTGTGAGTCACTAATACTCTCGAAGCTAAATTATGCTGATATTGTCATGGGAGAGTGTTTGCTTGCGCGAACCAAACTCGTAATACAACGAGTACAAAATGCATGCGCTAGGTTCTGTTTTCGAATCCCTCGTAGAGGTCACGTGACACCGTTTTTAAATCAGAGCAAACTTATTAACATGAAATCTCGTAGATCGGTTCACTACAGTTGTTTACTTTATAAAATATTACAAAATCAACAACCGAAATACTTATATGAGAAGCTCAGTTTCTCGCAACGTTTCTCACGGGAAACTGTTCGCTTGTTGTACCCAAGACACAGAACGGCTGCGTTTCGTGGTAGCTTTCGGTATGCTGCCACAAAGTGTTGGAATAATATACCACCTCCGATCAAGGGCAGCAGGACAGTTCGCACTTTTAAAGTAAAACTAAAAGAATATCTTTTAAATTTGCAAAGTTAGTTCTGTGTCGATGTATTACACCTTTCTTATGAAGGTTGATTGAATGTTTGTATATTATAAAAATACTTGCTAAATTCTCCATTTATTTTATTTTATTTTTGTATCTTATTAAATAATTTAATTGTGTGCCTTGTGCCTTGCATATGTTTTGTTTTTTGTTTTGTTACGGTTTTTTTTTTGCGTTGGCTTATTATTGTGCCTTTCTTTCCTAAATGTTAACAGTTTTTTTTTTTTTTAATTATTATTTATAAATTTTATAAGAGTGTATTTTTTATTTTTATGTTGGAGCCTGTGATTGGCTAAGTTTATTTTATTGCGCCTATGTCTCTGGCGTTTACTGAAAATCAGCGTTATAGTTATCACTATGTGGTTTCTATAACATTTGTGCTGAGTAGACGCCATTTTAGTTCCATTCCATTAATTTATTTTGATATGTTAATTTGTGTTTTTGTTTAGAACTAAATAAATTATATATATTATATATTATTTCAGAGCGAGCCCCTGGTGTAGAATCCTGGCTACTAGGTTGTGCCTTTGCAAGTACTCAGAATCAGAAAGCGCCGAACAACCGGAGATGACATGCCTAAGTGACTCACCGGGATGGCGACAAGCTTAACAAATGTCGACGGTGCTATCCCTTAGAATGTATCTCCGATAGTTGTTGGTCTTAATAACCTTATCCTGTATTACACAGACAAAACCCTCGGTTTCCCCGAAGAGGTCACCAAAACGTAGCCAGTGGAGGGAGGCAACTGTGTCTACGAAAGGCTCATGAAAAAGCTTGTAAAACCTCCCGTGGACCTCTGTCTCTATATATATAATAGTATTTTTATTTATTAATATTATTTATCTTTAATTAAACAGAGATATAAAAATTCTGGTTACGATTTCTATCCTTCAGACCAAATTGCGGACACGTCGTCCAGTGTTGAGAGGAAGAAAAGAAAACTCTGGTCTGCTACTTAGAATTTCTTGACAGAACAACTCAATAGCTAGTGTACCAAACCACCACATGATCAGCAGTCGCATTTACTACCGTTAGATCAACGAGACAGTTATAATAACATACATATTATAACGTCGCGTCTGTGATACCCGAAAGGCTCGTCATAGCTCCAAAATAACCGCAGGCTACTCAGAAAACGTTTAGCTAACAAAAATAGGCTTAGATGGAAAAATGCGAAAGTAATGATATGTGGCCAACCTATACACCCCTACACAATCACAAAGTTAATAACTCATTAGTCATGGCATGCCAGGCAAGTAAGTAACAGAAATAGCTGTAAATATTCGAAAAACTAAATTTGATACGTAATTGATTATTATTATTAACAGAGATGTTTATTACAATATTTTAAAAGCACAAAATAAATAATAGTACTACGTACTAACAGTAGGTAGGATTTATATATTATAAATCCCACCAAAAACATTCTGTAAAAAACTAGCCAAGTCTCGATGGAGCTGCTTGTTTATCTCTAAAAAGTAATGAAATCTAGACAAAGTCGTGCCAAGTCTAAGGTTCCTTAATGCGATTTCTTTATTATTATAGTTAATGTTGTGTGACTTGGCCGTTGAAGGGTACACAAGGGTACAAAATCAGGTGCTACATGACACCATTGCACCAATCTGTCGCCAGAACCGCTACCCATTGACGATGGAAAATTGCCACTTGGAAAACGTTGATTGAATAACCAGTCAATTGTAAGCTTGATAAAGTTGCGTTTACACGTACTGTTGCACGTAATTGTATTTACACGTAATGTTATATCTGTTGCAACTACCTATGTTTGTTAAGCGAGATAATAGCCCATAGTGGTATTGGTAATTGGACGCTAGTGTCTCATTTTAAGCGGTTGTTGATTGTGCAACACATGCATTCAGCATTGACAATGCTGACTTCTGCTCTCTTCTTTTTGGAGCGTCAAATCGACCACCGATCTAACATAAAAATAGACGTACAGACGGACATCTATCAATGATTAGAAGTCCGCCTATACTGGAAATATTTTTTTATACTGTTTGTTTCAGGTTCGCCTATACAAAAGTATTATTGAAATACGCAGCTTTATCAAGCCTACAATTGTCTGGTTATTCAATCAACGTTTTCCAAGTGGCAATTTTCCATCATCAATGGGTAGCGATTCTGGCGACAGATTGGTGTAATGATGTGTATGCAATGTAGCATCTGGTTTTGTACCCTTGTGTACCCTTCAACGGCCAAGTCACACAACATTAACTATAATAATAAAGAAATCGCATTAAGGAACCTTAGACTTGGCACGACTTTGTCTAGATTTCATTACTTTTTAGAGATAAACAAGCAGCTCCATCGATACTTGGCTAGTTTTTTTACAGAATGTTTTTGGTGGGATTTCACTGCTTTTTGTAGAAACGTGGGCATATTCATTTATTTTATTAGATTTTCTTATTTGACACATTTTTTTTCTTTTTTTCCGGTTCTGATTCTTATACAGTAGCAACAGTTTTTCTTATTGCCCATTCGCGTTCATTATTTAGCCTTTTAGACGGTTTAGACGGTTTAATTTCTGAAAGACCGGCGCGGTATTTACGTCTAAGTCGGTTGTATTCGGTGATCGCTGAAGCTTGAGCTTTTATACTCTTGAAGTCAACATTTATGAGGTACACCCCATGAAGATTGGTTACTCGTGAAAGCGCCACGTAGGCTTGGCCACAAGAGAATATGGAGGTGCCAATGTCCATGAGGGCATTTTTTAGACTTAGACCTTGGCTCTTGTGAATTGTTAGGGCATACGCCACACAGATTGGGATTTGTTCTCTGTACACGTATTTTTTTTATGTACCAATAGTAGAAGGGGGCATTACCATATCTCTAATACATCTGAGACCAGCTGAGGGTTCTTCATCAGACCTTCGATTTTTAACATCAAATGAAGCCGCCCACCAAGTTGAATATTTTTGTAAAGGCGGTATGTCGATCTCTTCTAATAGTTTGGTTGGGCTCTTGTGTTTTCTAATCAGGGTCACCAGGTACTCCAGATCTTCGATTATCCTTGTTTTTATAGTTTTCCCTTTATGTTGCCATTAAACCCTAACTCTGTACCAAATTTCAGCTCTCTGAGTTTATGGGAAGTACTAGTTCTATTCTGATGATCATGAGTGAGTGAGTGTCATAAATGCGAAACTTTGCTTTCGCTTAACTTCGGAACTAAATGACCTACAGACTTAAAATTTTGGATTTTAAGTATGTGATTATAGCTTACTGGGTGACGAAAATTTCTTCGTTCTGGTCTTATCCGGAGGTTCTCAAATAGGGGCCTGAAAATGCGGCGAAATGGTTCCAGTAAAGGATGGTACGGCAGTGTTCGCTTCGCGCTCGACTTGGCGGGGGCACTGCCGTGCCCCCCGATATACCTAAATACGTCTTGCACTTTATGGAATGATCTGAATGATAATATGATGATCATATGAGCATTATGAGTCGTGCACTTTTCAAATATTTTTTTAATTGAAGTTTGACATAAAATTATCGAAAAATTTAGAAGTATTATACCTAATAAAGTTACTAGTGAAAATTTGGGTGTATTTAAACTACTTTAAAAAATGTAAACGCTTAAGGCCTGCACAGTTGGATTTACCAATAGTTTTAGTTTTACCTTCCGTCCCGATATTTGTCCCATTGGACCTGGCAACACTAATACAAATATAACGAAAGGCGCTAGCCGGTGCAGGCAACACCGTACTAATAATTACAGATGCTGGCAGCCACTTTATTTCCTTAAATGTCAATATGAATTTTGCAATTAACATGAAATAGAAGATGATTATTTTCAAATTAATACATAGTATAATCTATATATTAAATTGTGTTTGTAATATAAAAATAACAGCCATTTATTAAATACATATGAAAGTATATACGGTGTATATAACAAAAACAATTTTTAAAATGTTTGTCTGTCTGTCTGCTGCTCCAGCGTATAGCTGACACTGGCAGATAACTAATGTTATAAGGATTAACACAGGCTACTTTTATTTTAGAAAAATAATTAAGACTCCACGCAAAAAAATTAAAACAGATGAAATATAATCGTAATAAATACCAAGCGGGCGAGGTCCGGGAACAGCTATTATGTAATTTACATGCATTTTAGTTTATAAAGAAATATGTGTTTCGGTTTTAATTTTTATATCGATAGCTAATCAATAATTTTTGTGTTGCTTTGTGTATCGTTAATCGCCTTTTTTAAATTGATTTGAAATTGTTCCATCTTTAGACACGCCAAACTGTAAACTGTCACCAGCACCATGCTATAACGCAAGGACTTTATAGAAAATGCATACGAAATAGGTTAAATTAATAACATTATAAAATGAAACGTTTGGACTGTTTGCAATTCAATTCCGCTCCTAAAGCTAAAGCTCCGGTGCGGACAATTTATTGAAAACAATTCTTTAGCTTTTCTAGATGTATTCGTAATTCGGAATCCTGATAACACCTTGAGCCACACTGTGTATAGAAAAAAGACCCATACAGATAGATATTTAAACGGTGATTCTCACCACCATCCTTCACAGTTAGCTACCGTGGGTAAATCTTTGTTTCAGAGAGCACGAGGGATCTGTGACAGTAAACACCTGGCCGCCGAGCTCCAACATGTCAAGCAAGTTTTGCACGACAATAAGCTTCGGGTCCCGCGCCTACGTCACAGTGAACGAGTGAAGCTGGCCACAGTCGAGCTCGTACCTGCTGTACTGCCATATGTTAGAGGTGTCACTGACAAGATTGGCTACATCTTGAAGCGTGTTTCCATTAAAAAATATTTCAAGCCGCCGAAGGAGATGTCAGTTTTTACCATCAGTCAAGTATAATATTCCTCTGCAAGATGCAGGAGTGTACAAGCTGGATTGTGAATGTGGTCTCTCTTATATAGGACAAACTAAAAGATCCATAAAAACCCGCGTTAAAGAACACATAGCTGATGTGAAGAATAGACGCTCCGGGAAGTCTGCAGTCT